GCTGCTCCCCGAGCGGGAAGGCTGCAGGTGGCCTGGGGTAACGTGTGCCGAAGTGCCCGRGTGGCACCGGCTCCCGGGCACCTCCTGAAGCCCTGGGAACACATGGRTCACCCGTAATGCAGCCTGTGTTACCCATAGCAGTGTAGGAAGCACGGACCAGAAATGCAGAGCTGATAGTTTTATAACAAAAAAAAGCAAGCAAACCCTTCCCCTCCGGCTGGGTTCAGGGAAAGAAATGAAGCACAAGTAGATGTGCAGCCTGCACCGCTGGGTTTGGCGCATATCAGGCTGCTAGCAGCGCGTGTTCAGCTAGCGTGGCAGCCTGGGGGAGGCCTGAAACCCCAAATATCATCATTTCTCTTTAAAAAAGAAGTTGTCTTTCAGATGCTCCAGGGGAAGTGTGAGTTTTGTTTAAACAAATCAGGAATTGGGCAGTTTGGTTTTATATCACACCCTAATGCGATACCCAGCACTAGCCTGAGGAGACTTCTTGGAGATGGCCATTTGGGAACAAATAGCCCAGCAAGGTAAAAACATGCCACAAAATAGAGCTGTGTGGATTCAGAGGAGGAGCCGGTTCTCAGTGCTCTAGGTTTTTTTGTTCTTTCCTAGCTGCATTTCCAAAGGAAATGGCAAATGTTGTTTCTGTTGTCTCCTCGCTCAGACTAAAATAGCTGCAACTGCGCTCCTCAGCGACAGGCAGACTTGGGCATTAGCAAGATAAAGCAATTTTCAGTGTTTAGTCATTCTTTAACTCAAAATTTGCCTCAGAAAGGACAAACGAGCCACAAGGTTTCCCAGACAAGAAGCCCTTGGAGAGCTCAGTCCATGCCATGCGCGCCTACCTTTACKACGACCTCGAGGACGTCTTGCCTGGCCAGTTTTGCTTCTCCGAAAGACATCACRTTGAAGGAGCAGATCTTCAGGCTCCGCGCCGTGCTGGAGCAGAGGAGCAAGAGCCCCACGAGCAGCCACATCCCCGGGGCCCTGCGCAGGCTCTGGCTCTGTCCGTGCGCCTGTGTGCGCCCGTGCGTCCGTCCTGACCCTGCTCRGGGCACGGAATGAGCGGAGGTGGCGGCGTCAAGCGCCCACAGCCAAACAGGAATTGCTGGTTTCCTCCTTTTCCCTCACTTCCATCTTTCCGCCCGAAGGGGCCGGGGGAACTTGCCCTTGCGCCGGAGGGCTCCGCGGGCTCGGGGCTGCCTCGCGCCGCGGTGGCCGTCGCGGTGCCCAGCGCCGCGGGCAGGAGCACGGCCCCTCGGCACAGCGGAGCTGCCCGGGCAGCCCGGCCGCGGGAGCCGCTCACGCYGGAGGTGGCCCGGAGGGTCCCTGTCCGGGCAGCGGCAGAGCCCTGCTCCCAAGGAGGTGCCGGGGAGGCTCCCGGGCCACCCGTCTCCCGGTGTAATGGGCAATGGGGAAGCTCCAGTGACGCGCGGGGCCTGCGATCCGCAGCACTAGGACAGGGTGACCTTCTCCAGCACAGGCTGCCGCCTCTCCCGCGAGTCAGCGGCGGAGCGGCCGGCCCCTCTGCAGGAGTGGGAGCAGGAGCGGGAGCGGGAGCACCCGGCGGGGTGGCCGTGCTGCCCCAGTGGGTTTGGGCTCCCCAGCCCGCGGCTGCAGCCCCGGCAGCACCATGAGGAGCTTCCCGGCGAGGCCCCGGCCTCGGGCTGGCGGTGGCCACGCGGAGCCGAGCCCGAGCCCATGACTGCTATGGACCCGGCGCGGATGGCGCTGCCCCCGCAGCCCTGCCCGCTCTGGTCCCTAGGGAGCTGCGGCGTTTGGCCCCTGCTCCGYGGGGACGCTGGGGCTGCAGCAGCCCCGCGCTGCGGGCGGGCCGGGGAAGGAAGGGGCTCCCTGGGGACTCAGTGGGGTCAGGACTGAGCGCTCTGGTGCCGTTTCGGGTTAATGAGTGACGACGGGTTCAGCTGCTGCGTGTCAATGAAGCTCAGAATTGGGCTGCAGGCCAAACCGGGGCATGCAGGAGGTGCTTTAATGCTTAATGTTAATCTAACAGTAAAAGCTCTGGGACTGGGCAAGGGTAAAGATGTGTGGTGCACGAGGTAGCGGCTCTTTGCTTTGTCGTTGGCGCTTTATCTGATACTCCGGCTTTCCTTGTTATTCTTCAAGGTGCCTCTTCACCAAAGCACCTACGAGGGGGAGAGTTTCCTCCCAGCACCGCACTGGGGCTTTGCTCTTTCAAGCGGAATGCAGGAGCGCAGGGAAAATGCCGTGCTGCGATTCGGTGTCTTGGCGGAGTGGGGCCAATTACCTGCCCTTTACCAGGGGCAGGCTGCAGCACAGCCCTGGCTGCCCGAGCCTGCAATAGGAGGCAAACAGTGCAGCCTTTGAAGGGCACTGCAGGGACCAAATAAGCAGTTTTGCACCTCATCCCAACAGCCTTATTGTTAGCAGCTAAAGATGTAATTAAAACACACTTACTAATCAGTACTTTGCTTTTGAGTGGCGTTTGGAAGCGTTACGGGCCCTGCCCCGCGGGGTGTTTGGGCTGCTGCGGGTGATCGAGGTGTTGCTCTGCTCGGGGCACCCTGTGCCACGGGGTGCTCGGGGGTGTCCCCGGCCCGGTGGCACCGCGCGGGACGGGACGGGACGGGGCCTTGCCGGGCCAGCCCGGCCTCCTGMAGCACACGGGCCGGCTCACAGCGGGCATGATTCAGCTCGCCCCGGCGCCGCGCGGTCACTTGCTGCAGTTGCGAATAACCTGGCCGCGCGCTCGGGGATGGGAGAGCCCTCGGTGCCAAACAACCCCCAGGCCTTCTGTCTGGTGAAGCAACATCGCTGCAGCTCRGTGAAACGCAGCTGCGCGTGGAGATCCCCAGAGCTACCGCCGTGCCCTTCCCAGCAGCGGGGCTGTCCCGTCCTGTCCCRTGGGGCTGGAGCCAGGCGGCCGCGCTCACACAGACGTGCTCATTTTGAGCTGGGACGCAGCACACCCCGCTGACGAGGGAGGACCCTGCACTGCACCCCAAAACCCTGCACTCGCGGGGAGCAAACGGAGGCGTCTTGTCCTGCCTTCGTGAAGGCCGTGGCCTTCAGCTCCCGCATTGTCCTGCAGCCTKGTTCCCAGGCACAGCCATGAGGAAAGCAAAACCTTCCGTGCCAAGGACCACCCGCGTGGCGCGCTCCGTCGCCCGGTGTTGGGAGCAGCCGCTCCCGGCCCCACTGCCTGCAGAGGGGCTCCTGGGCACCGCGCAGCCGGCTGGGAGCAGGGCCGGGAGCAGGGCCGGGAGCAGGGCAGGGAGCAGGGCTGGGAGCAGGGCCAGGAGCAGGGCTAGGAGCAGGGCCCGCGGCAGGGAAACTCGCTCGTGTGCCGCCGCCGCTTCCCCATTTTGTTCCTGCCCTGTTTCAACAGAGCTGGGGATCTCAGTTTCGACTTCTCCGTTTTAAGAAACGTGTTGTTCCCAGTGGCTGCATCCAAGGACATTCTTGGAAGATGACTGAGAGCGCTGAGGTGTTTGCAGCTCACACCACGAGTGAGTCGGTGCCACTGCACACCCTGCACGTGGGAGCTGCACACAGGAGCTGCATGCAGGAGCTGCACGTGCGCCCTGCACACAGGACCTGCACACAGGACCTGCACATGGGAGCTGCGCGCAGGAGCTGCATTCAGGAGCTGCACGTGGGGGCTGCATGTGGAGCCTGCACAGGGGACCTGCACACGGGAGCTGCATGCAGGAGCTGCATCCAGGAGCTGCACGTGGGACCTGCACGGGTGCTTGAAGGGCTGCTCGAAGCCCTGCGCTCACCAAGAAGCTGAACAAACAAGCAGGATTGCCAGCGAGGTTTAAGGGCTTGTGAAACACCTGACGCACCTGCCCCCACAGCGAAGCTCATCGGTGCTTAGCCAAGGCTCACGGGAGGCCAAATGAGTCCATTGCAATGAGACCAAAACAGTAGCGCGGAGCTGGGCCCCGGTTAACCGGGTCAGGTAAAGCCTCCGCTGCAGCTCGTGACGCCTCCTTGGCTGGCGGCGGAGGCGGCGGCTCTTTAGCTCTCCCCTGCTTGCTCTCTGCTCCAGCCCGTGCTGCAAAAGCCTCTGGTTTTGGCAGGGAGCTGGCCGGAGAGCCCGGGGACACCCACCCCTTCCCTGCAGTGTGCACAGGCCTTCCCCGTGCACCTTTACTTGCTGATCTTATTTCCAGCTTAATTAAAATTTTCTCCTACTTTTGGACATATTTTCAAGGTGCATTTCAAGGGATTTGGGTTGACTTAAAAAAAAAATAGCTTTTAAGTACAGGTCGACACGGGGTTAGCAAGTGACATCAGCTGCTGGGAAGAGTGCTGAGGAAATAGGATGCAGGTGCAAAAGGTGTAAAATGTGGCAGGACTGCCAGGTGTCCCCCTTCGGGGTGTTTCCATGGGAATGCCGGTCCCTGCCAGCCGGGGATCCCGGCGTTTCCAGGGCCGGAGGAGGGGATGGACCCTCCTGCCGGGCTTGGCCGGAGCGCGTCACTCCTGGGGGGTCCAGTGCTGCTCCCCCCATCCCTGCATCCCCGAGGTGCGGTGGCATCCTTGGCGTCCCCCCCGCACTGTGATCCTCGCGCATCCCGCGGCGCCCTCCCCGGCCCGGCCCG